CGTTTTGAGTAATTAAGACCGAGGGGTTAGAAAAAAAATTAATGTTCTATGTCGTGCTCTATCACAATCGTAAAATTATGCAAAGTCGTTATCAAGATATCCAAAGATTTGCATTCTAAAAAGCTTAACATGTTGTGAAACTCAAAATGTTTTATGTCAAATTTCTCAAAACAAGATCCTGAGAAGATAGATCTTTGCAATTCTAGTAGGATAGATACGTTTTATTATTTAAGCCCCACTTGGAAATACACATTGGTGGGCAGTACAAACATGTTTGCATCTTGAAAATAGCAAATGTGGGCTCTGGCTATGAACAGGTAATCAAATAGGACTGCTCTAACTCTAACCCGTTCTCATCTACGATAACACGCACTGTCGAGATCTTCTTGGGAATGCAAGACACTTCTGAGCACAATCAAATCTATCAGACAGAATTAAAAAAACAGGAGCGTGGTTGTTTAGCCAGCGCTCTGATGTGGTTTGCTTCTTGTTTTTCTGTCAACGCTCATCGTCTTTATCCTCACGTTTTCCAAGTTGGTGGTTGGCGGGTGCTCTGGTACGGGTTGCTACTCCTTCTCTATCAAACATCTTTCGTCCTCATCTCTCTTCCTCCTATTTTTATTAGTATGTTACTCTCTAGTAACGCCACTGATCTTCTGCAATTATATATCATGATTGTGTTGCAAGTGCCGCAAAACTTAGCTAAGCCTTTACTAAAAACGACTAAATAAATAGTAACACCTATCGGGGCGACACAGTGTAGATCATACTGCCTGTCAAGACAAACCCAAGATGAGAGAGAGAGAGGAAGATAACGCCCGGCAGAAAGACCTGGACATTCGACTAAAATTCTACTCAACACGGGAATCAAACTCATGTTTTGTTGGGTTTTTTGTGTTTGTTTTTTTCGTTGGTTTTTTTTTAGGGGGGAGGGGGTGTCCGTGTGTGTTTCTTTGTTTGTTAGTTTGTTGTTGTTGTTGTTGTTGTTGTTGTTGTTGTTGTTTCTGTTACTGAGGTTCTTTGGGGGTTTTTTGTTTTGCTTTGTTTTGCTTTGTTGGTCCTTTTAAAGGGGCGAGGGGTCGGTGCCCTATTGCAAAGAGCCTAACCGGTACACCACGAACACAGATCTACAGAGTTGTAATTGAGATGTTTTTAAATGTTTAATTTAATTTCTTTTATACCCACATCGACACAATTTAGATAATTCAGGGGTTGGCCTTCCAACCCTGCCTGTCAAGGCCAACCCGATCTGAGAATGATATAACATCTCAGCAGAAAGACCGATCGAGATACTCGATAAAAATACGATAAGGTTCCCCTTCCCCTCATTATGCGAACAACTCACACAAACAAACGTCTCGTTCTGTGTGTGTTTAAAGCTATAAATCACACTTAAGAACAATGACCAGGGTAACCTCAAACACTGAGCCGGTATTGAACTAGTCAATAACGACTGAGATTTTGATCGCGTGACAGTACCGTCGTTCTATACCGCCTCATTATAAATGCAGCTCTCGCGACTGCAGGGAGGAAATACATTGTACCCCGGTGTATGAACTTGAGTCATAAATTGTACTTTGGAACAAAGAAAGGGGAAACTGTAGAGTGGAGTGGACGTCTACCGGAATGACATTGGTGAGCCATCATGGTGAAATGAGGAGCTCGTCAATGTAATGAATTCAAAGAAACCGATTTTTTGGCAATTTTTATCAAATGTTTGTTTTTTTACTCAACATCTGTCATGTTCATTAAAATCACATTCAAGTGTGGATTTTATTGAAAAATGTTGATTAGAGGCTCTAAAAATGTACATCTTCAGCTTTCAAGGGGTCTCAAGCTATTGAAGTCACCAAACTTTAGCGGCCATGTTCTCTACTAACTTTACCTCTGAAACCAGACGACTCAATTTCCTAAAATCTCAACTTCATGTTAAAGTAGAGGGGTATTTCATGTCACTGAAGGCAAGATAAATGAACACCCTTTAAGACGATACCAATAACTCCACATGCCCAAAAATTAACGATCACCTGATTTTACCGAGTAGTAACAATGTATGCTATTGTACTGGTAGATGCCTTACATCCTCATCAACACAATTAAGATCATCCAAATATTGAAGAATACGAAATAGGAGGCAAAATTTTTAATCCGCTTAAAGTCGTAACTTACGAAATGCGATCTTGATATAGTTAGTTCTTTTAATGTATAGTCCTCTTATTTTCATAAGGTACTGTGCGGTGGCGGAGCGATTAGTGCGCTCGTCTCCGAAGCGGAAAGTCTGGGTCGAGCCCCGGTTCGGACACAGGATTTTTTTCGCCCCCTCCGGACTACCCAGCAGTTATGGGTACATGACTTTGAGTTGGGGAAGTAAAGGCGGCGCGGAAAGGAAATGGCCACCCTACCTCAATATGCCGAAGACCCAGGAGTTGTCTCACTAACAAGGCAATCCCCAATGTCCGGATCGGATGCGGGAACAGCTGTACTTTACTGTGCATTATGTCGTCATCGATTGTGCTCTATGATAGTATGAATGTCGGACTTATATGCTAGTATTGATCTAAAAAGCGTATTATGTAAGTAAAGATAGAGACAAAGAGAGACAGAGTGAAAGAGATGGTGGAATAGCCTTAGAACGAACAACGTATTGAATAAAGTACGAGTGTGTTGTGTGTGTGTGTGTGTGTGTGTGTGTGTGTTGGTGTGTGTGTGTGTGTGTGCGTGCGTGTGTGTGT